TTAGTGAATAGAATGGAGGGAGAACTGGAAGCGCTTCGTGGCCTCGCACTAGCGAGAACGTCCTTTTCCTTTTGTTTTATTTATCTATTTAGTGGCTTACTTAGATTTTATCTAATCTTTTCCATATAATTTTTTTTTAAATTATTAGGTAACGAATGGAAATGTTGCGAATGACGAATGATTTGATTAAATTCTCTCTCCTATTTCAACATCTTTTTTGAATTATTTTTAAATTAAATATTTTTTAAAAAACAATATTCAGAAATGCTAGCATATTCTTAATTCGTATTACAAAAATTTTTTAATTATTTTCATAAAATGTATTATTTATCAATTAGTTCTTTATTTAATGTTTAATAACCCAAAATATTACAAAAATGAATAAAGCTTCATTGTAAATTATTTAATCCTTCCTGTTTTATAAAATTATTGTTTGACTGTAACTAAGTTTACCTGCATTACTAAATTATTCAAATGTCGTTTAGAAATCATATGAATCAACATTTTCTTCCTGGTATAGATAGCCCCACATCCACTACCAATACCCAGTTTATTTATATCATCCTTCTTCACAGACTTGTTTGTAACACGTCGTTCATTAGATTTAAATCTTGGATTATTTCCACTACCACTTGACAATACTGATAATTTTGTGGATAATGATATGAGAGAATGAACATGGAATAATCCGATATGTGGCACTATAAATTGCATTATTAAAAACCCGAAAATTCAGATTAATTTTAACAATATGATTACATAATAATTTGTATACCTTGAATAACTACCTGCAAACGACAACTGTGTTCAATTCGAACACGGTTCTAAAGCCGGAATTGTAATAACAGCTACACCGAATGAAAATCATAATAATCCACGTAAAGCGTGCAAGAATGCAAAAATATCCTAAAAGAATAATGAATGGCTACCTACATTAATGTTATCCAAGAAAATTTGAATAGAAAAACTTTACACGAAATAATTAACTTACATGAGATGATCTTGATTGCCATGATGGTGAAGCGATTGAATCCTAAGCGCATTTCTTTCAACATTTGAAGATGGTACTAACAAAGAATTCAAATGATTTTCTTCAATGACGTTGCGTATTCTATCTAATTATGATATGAATTCTCGTTTAATTAATTCATTTACATTAACTAATATTTGGGAATTGATTTTGTTAAATCAAAAGTTGAACAAAATAGTTTTTCAATTTGTTATCTATCGTACTTGAAATTTATTTATTTAGAAGAAGATTGGATTTACTTTTTACGCTTGATTTTTAATCCTTTATAACGCCATGCAATTGTCATTTTCTCTTCTAATTCGATGGTATTGTCAACGCCACTATCATCAGTTTAATTTGATAACCAAGGCAACCCCATTATAAAATTTTTTGGTCTGCCGTACTTAACAAAACATGGACACTATTCCTTGAACCAAAAAGTATTTTGAAAGTAGTAATCTAGCATACTCCGTATGTCGATCCTCTTTTATTAATAATACACTTCCGATTGGTACACCTCCACCAAGAATATGTTTGAAAATCATTTTATAAAGGTCTGGGTATAACTAATAATTATCATCATTGAATTTTGATTAAAGGAATGGTACTTCATTATGCCCTGAGGAATTTTCGTTTGATTGGTTTTGGGGAAAAAAAAACTTTTCATTGGTCATCGAGATAAACTTAAAATTTTTTACTTTGAAATTGACAAATTTTCATGGGATAAGCGATTATAATTCGTAATTTCCTAAATTTGTTCACAATGTGAGACAAAAAAAAAATTTTTTTCCATATTTCTTTTTTTTTTTTTTTTAAAAAAAAAAAATAACATATAATAAGAAACTAGATCAATGTCAACCTCTAAACAAAATAAATCTTTAAAAACAAGTATAATTAAAGATTTGGTTCCGCAACAAAATCATGAGTTTCAGCAAATAATTCAACCAAAAAAATCAATTAAAATAATTCGATCAGGTAAAGTAAAAAAATATATCGAAAATGCTTTATCAATATTTCAGGTAACTATATCTCCTCTTTTAAAAAAAAGCTGTAAATTTATGTTAAAATTTAAAGTATTATTCAAGGATGAGAAATCACGTGAGACGGTCGAAAATGTTATAGTTGTATTCTCAGGAAAAGGTCAAGCTATCAACAAGACTATTACTGTAGTAGAAATAATTAAACGAAAACTAGATGGATCTTTGCATCAATACACTCAAATTGGACGAAATTTCTTAACAAATGAATACAAAGAAAAGGACCAAGGTTACGAAATGAATTTGGATTATGTAGATCAAAAAGGACAAGATGGGCAAGTACACAACACGGTCGAGATTTGCTCATTTAAGATTTAAGAAAGCTGTTCTTATAAATATGATTATAATTAAAGATCACGTGATAATCTATCGGAACCTGTGATAACTATTTATCTCTGTTCTAAAGCGATTCCGAACTTAGAGGAGAATTTAGGGTAAAATTAACCATTCTTTCAAGACAATAGTTTTCCAATACGATTTTTAAACACTTTTCATTGCCATCATATAGGTATCAGCCACCAATAAACTTATCATCGTGAATTAACTATTAAGTAAAGAATTATACTTCAAACACCATGTAATAAATCATTAACTGTACTATAAAATATCATTATTATTAAATTATAATTAATACATAATTGAAAAACTGCTAATGCTGCCCAGGCCATGCTGGCGTTGTACTGTTATCAAATTCGCCATAGAATCTGTTTGATGGGACCACTCGATGTTGAGTCCCACCGATAACGTCTCCACAATCTGGGCAGTGAGAGATTTGAGTAGCACCACCACAATTTCCAATATAGTAAGGATGATTATTTGGACAGACAAACCATCTGCCACCAACCATACTATTGAAATCGGCGGTTCGTGTTTCTTCATTCATTGCATCAATGATTTGCTTTCGTTCCTCTGCCGAAATCAAACTTCGGGCCGTTTCTTGTTTACGTTTTATTACATTCCAGAGATTAATTTCAGTCTTTAAATAACGGTTATATCTCATTGCTGTAAAAATCGGTTCTTGACAATGGGGACACTGCCAAAGTTTGACTGCTGTATGTTCACCTAATTGAAATGTAAACAAGAATGATAAATATTTAAAATAAAGACAAATAAAAATACATCAATTATAAGTTACCATTTTTCACTTGATTTTTAAAGTACATGTCAAGACCTTCTGCCATGAATACACATTGACATTCTGGAAGCATGTAAAGACGTTCAAAATCTTTTAATTCGGAGAAGCTTTGAAGCGTTATAGTACATTGCATATTGGGGTTGCATGTTAAACAAGGCGGACACGCTTCGCCACAAAAACCGTTACATTGATGACTAAAAATATAATCAATTAGATAAGATATTAACCGTTCACTAAGAAATAAAGTAATTATAATTGAAAACTTACGTGCACTTTAATACTCTAGGACATCGCATATTGCATGGATGTCGGTTACAGAATTCATAACATCTTTTTTTGCATACACTGTGTGGGCATTTCCATGGACAAGGTTCAAGACATCTAGTACATTCTTCGTGGCAAGTTTTGGGGCATACATGTCCATGTAAACACTTAATACGGCATGATTTTACGCAGAAGGCGGTATGGCGCTCAGGTTCGCTGCATCCATTCGCGCATTGGTGTCCACAAATTAAACTTTTTGGGCATTCGCGTGTACAATTAGATCTTTCATGAGAATGTTCAATTCCACATTGACGGTGACAAAGATGTCCACAATCGAACATTTTACCACATGTTTCTTGACATACGGGAGACTTTGTGCTGCATGGTAATTTAATACTATGGTTGCAATTGTCAAAAGTAAATAATTTCATTCCTTTGCATTCCATAGTCATTATAATTTCTTCGTTATTTTTCTGGTAGCATTTAACTTTATGTTCATGTCCACATGGTAATTTCAGAGTCACATCCTCTTCACAAACACGATTCGAGTGATCTGTATTCATTTGGTGACATGGTATAGATTTTATATGTCCACAAGGTAATTTGGAATCGACAAGTTGTTCACATGGAGGACATTTTCCAGCCTTCTCACATTCATGACATTCCTTAGGACAATCGTGTTCACATTTTTGAGGCCTATGTTGGCCACCGCATTGTCGAAAGCAAATATATTCCACTTCTTTTGTATGGTGGATAGGGTGACATTTTCTTTGACATGCGTGCCCACACTTTAATAAACCGTGACACGGTTCCTGTAATAATTGTAAACATTTCACATTATCGAAGGAGGAAAAAAATTATAATTGATTATAAATAAAAAAAATATATATATATATTTACTGAACATCCTCCATATGGAACTTTGGTTTCAAAATCTTTATCAGTTGTGATGTCTATCTTTTTATTAATATGGGTGTTGCAATCGAGAGTTAGGCTACTACCAAATGCGTTAGCTATTAATAAATAAAGATAATCTCATTAATATACTTTTTTAAATGAATAAGGGAAATTAATAGGATAAAATACTTACGTATAGTCTTTATCTTTTCAATAACTGGAGACCATATTTGGCTTTTATGAAGCATTGTCTCATTACCAAAGATATAAAGAGCATGAAGTGCCTTTGATAATGCCATAATTACTCGCTTTTTATCATTTAACACCTTGAAAGCTTCTTCGTACCATTTTTCGCTTACCGCTACTAATGAAAGTAAAACAATTTGATTTTCATCATTATTATGCTCGTCAATCAATTTAACTTGAATTTTTCCTGCTTTAGCTTTATCTTTGTCCAATCGTCCAAAAATGTTATAAGGCAGAGTTTGACCTGGTTCTTTTATTAATTCTGGTTTTAATGATTTCCATATTAATTTTTGCTGAGCCACATGAGGTGTCAAAATTGTTATTCTTGCTGGGTCATATCCCTGTTGATATAAATAGAAAGCAAAGTTGGCAACAAAATTCGCTTCAAACGTGTTTGTCTTCCAATTTTCATCATAGTAATTATGTGTCATAAAAAACACATGAGAAGGGACACCCATGATTTTAGGAATGTTCTCTGCTACGCTATGTTCCGTCGGGTCAACATTATTATAAAGTGTACGAACAAGTTCATGAACAGATGGATGCATGCGAGACTGTTGTTTCAAATTAATATGGTCCCCACCACATTCGATCCATCTTTCAAATAAGGACACGTCTAAACCGTGTTCTTGAGCGGTCTTACTCTTGATATTAGGTTTCGAAAGTTGATTATCACCAAACATTATCAAATGTTCAAGTCGATTGGAAGAAATCAATGACATTAAATGTGCTTCAGAAATTTCTGAGGCTTCGTCCACAATACAAACTCTCGGCTTAACAGAGGCGAGGACTTCACGATATGCCGTAGCATAACTAAAGGTCATTCCAATCACTGGAGCGAAATTGCACACTTCGGTCCATCTCGCAACTCGAGTAGTTTCTAATTTTTCCGATTCAAATATTGCTTTTTTTTGACGTTCCTGAATTTCTGGATCACAGAATTCAATGTGATGCTGATGGAATCTATTATATAACAATCTTCGCTCATTTAATGTCATGATCCAAATTCCCTTTCCACTTTTACTCCAAAAATTTTTCGAAACATTAGCAAAATCGATTTGATATCTGTAATTTTGTCCTTCCGGTTTAAGTTCGTTCAAGTTTTGATCCTCTTCACACTTGCATATAACACGGTCATTAATTTGATTTTCCAAGATTTCGTTATCAAAGTCAGAAGGGGTAGAGATATCATCATCATTTTTCATCTGATCGTTTTCGAATAAGTACGATTTGGAGATTTCCGTAAGCAAAGATGAAATTTGAGAATCATTGTGAGACCGTGGACCTTTATTATTTATCGTTTCTTTTAATAATAAATAATCAGAATTGTTAGTGGAAAGCTCAGAATTGTGTTGGAGCGAACAAATCGTACCTTGATTGTTATCATCAAAACTTTGATTAGTAACAGCTTTGGTCCACGCTCCAAACTTCGTGGGGAAAGATGTGCTAGTTCTTTGAATATTAGAATGGTTTGAAGATGGAAATGCAGGGAAATCTTTTTTCGAAGGACTCTTTTTCTTAGCTTCAGCAGCTGATGAATTTTTCTTTGATTTGAGAATATTGTCCAACGTATTCGATTCGGACTCTCCTTCTAACCAAATTTCTAAGCAACGTAAAACCATTGCATATTCTGACGCAAAGCCAAGGTTCTTATAGTCGCAATTCTTTAACTTCGCAGGAATTAATTGCTCGCGGAACGCTCTGGGACACGTTTCGGCAAAATATTCCAATGTCAAAGCAGCTCTCCTAAAGTTCCACAAATCGTCTAATGTCTTTTGTTCATTACTTATTCTTTGGCGAATTTTGAGCCATTCCTTACGTAATGGATCAGAACCGCGTTTAAAAATTAAATGATCATTTGCTACGCCATGAATTTGACGTGCTTTTAGTTCGGGATTACTACAACTTGAGAACGATCCACAGCGAATTAGGTCTGGAAAAGAAGGAAGTAATTGCTCCAAAATACTATCCAGTGCATATGAACTACGTGTGAGAATGAGAATCGGCTCAAAACAATGACTCTTTTTGATGGCCTGCTTTAGTAACTCAACAGCCTTTGCAGCAACTTTTGCTTTTGAAGTAACAACTGGAGCCACGATCACTGCAACCTTTCTTGAAATTATTTGCCTTAAAGCAAGTACACAAGAAAATTCCATATTATATACTGGGGAACTATATGGAGTCCAATAATGTGGCCAATCGGCTCGACTCTTAGGGATGACAGGCTGTTTTTGATCGACCAATATTGAAGTAATATCAAAGGCAACATTATCAAGGTAATCTGGGGTAGACTTATCGAGAACACATGTGAATAATTCTCGAGATAATGGGGAAATTCGTTGAATACCATTACTTGGTTCTTTGAGCCATTCCATTACTGGCCTTATTGAAGCATAGTTCAATGTTGATTCCAACATAACATACTTACCGTTAAGATCAAGCTTGTCGAATTCTGAGGCGAAGAAATTTAATCCCACACAGCTTTCTTGTCGTTCATTAAATCTGACTTCATCAAGGCTAAAATATTCAACCATTGCCCAGACCATGCTTAACGTATCGACAGATACATTACCAGAATCTGTTTTGACCTTGAACAATAATACAAAGGTACCGTAGATCAGATGCTCACCTTTAGTCCAATTAACAGGTCGACTTGGTTTGAATCCGACTCTAACATATGGAGTAAAGTTTCTATCAATAAAAGTGTTGACAATTCGAACATCACGGTAGAAAATGTAATTATATAATGGCGAATTCTCCGGCAGAACATAATCTTTACAATTTACAGCGAAGAAAGAAACGCTAGCTCTTTGAAGATCTTCTAAAACTTCAGTTCTAATCAAATCATAATGAACTTCACGATATATTTCTTCATAATCAGGTAACCATGGTCGATTCACCAAATGTTGTGTTAATGTTGGTTTGATAATCATTGCTTTCAAGTTGAAAATTTCTTCGGGTAAAGGCACCAAGGGTTTATCAACATAATTTTTGCTGTGCGTAGTTATCCAGGGAGGTGTTTGCGGTTTTGAAGACATCTTCTTAGCATATTGAACCATTTCTCTAATGTTCTTAAGTCTTGCATCAACTTCTCTTGATTCCACTTCGGAAAAGGTACTTCTAATCTTGTCACAAACCTCAGTAATATCATTATGTGAAATATTCCGAGCTGATTCGGGAAAAAGGTTTAGAATAAAATCGGAGAGTCGAATAATAGGCATAAGGTCACTACCACAATTAACTTCTTCTTTCATATAGGAAAATACTTCTGTAAAGAAACCATCATTCGCGATGACTATACGAATCAATTGCTCTGTATCCTTGTTGTCTGTTTTTAGAACGAGATGCGAAGAAAGGATCTTAAGAAGTTTCTGTATCGTTTCAGTATCGAATAATTTAATCTTGGGAATTAATTCCTGAGCAACGCCCAGAATGCAATTGAGCCAATTTGTAGGGATGGTGTGATATATGCCATTGACCATATCACAAACATGCTCTGCATCGTAAGACCTTATTTTTCCTTGCCTTCTTGATCGTGACCCTCCAGTGGAAGCAAAATATTCAGTAGATGGGATTTGTACCATCTTTCTCTTAATTTCTAAACGACCCCCTTTTTTAAAACGGGAAAACTCATATTCACTCAAACAAACATCACCATCCATTTGTACTGCGGTAAGGACGTGTTGGTGATCCTCATATCCTTGTGCTAACTGTGTCTGAAATTTAGGAAATTTTGAAGTTGATGCTGTATTAGACGAGGAATTATAACTGTACGTTGAATCTGGATTAGCGTCCTCGTGTATATTATCAAAAGTTCCTGTGTCCGGCCAATCTTGTTCTTTGGGTCTTTTTATTGGCAGAGGTCTTATACCGTCATCACTATTAAAGTCCCAATTCGAACCGAGGTTTTTGTTTTCCTCTTTTACATTCAGATATTCTTCGATATCTGTCGCGCTGGCCCAATCGAGTGGTACGTCTGTACAACCACTCCATAATTCTTTTGATAATTGTGCAAGCTTTTCAAAAGATTGCGCGGACGACCGTGAATCGTTCTCAAAAATTTTTGCTACCATTTTTGCTACCTTTGGTCGTTCCGGAGGCTTCAGGTCGGTAGCCGAGGAGACCGGACATATTGGATATGGAGGGGGGAAACTCACCCCTTCAAAACCATCGTACCCTTCATCTTTAAGAATTTCTTCATTGCGCCGAGGTCGTCCCCAATATTTTCCTTTGTTATTCCAAGTGTTCCTTTTTTTATTCTCTTCTTGATCCAACAGATCGAATCGCGGAGAATGTGGTCGATCAGTTTCCAACTTCGGGGAGATAAGCTCATTACTAGATATTACCCAGTCAACTTCGTCATCATCAGTTTGTTCTGCCGATTTTATTACCTCAGTACTTGTAGAACTAGCGCTACAAATGTTTGTATCCTTTACTTCAACATCCTCAGATGCCTTTTTTAAAGGATTTGATTCGATCTTCGTCATTAAAAGTGAGGGATCTGCGGCGGCCGCTTCCCAGCGGTTGGTTTGTCGGTTAGACATAACATCAATTGGCTGTGAATCCCAACCACCCAATTCCTCTGTCATTGGAGCTTTCATTCCGTGGGAATCTTTGGATGAGGGATGAGGATCACAGTCCATCATTACATCTTGTCTGGTGGGAGGAGTATTGTAAGGTTTAAAGCTTCTTTGATTGCTTTGACTACGAATATCATCGAGATTTGATTGAACGACACTATGACAATTGCTTTGGTTAATTAAACGATCACCTTGAGGAGTTCCTTGGTTATTATGGGGATGTTCGTTGTAACGAGAAACGCCTGGGTCGTTATTAGAATGTTCACTATAACAAGATCCACCTTGTTCATTGTTGAAACTTTCATTACGGCAAGGAGCAGATTGATCATTGTTAAAATTGTTATTATGGTGAGTTGTATGTTGACTATTGAAATGTTCATTACGGTGAGAAGTAGATCGGTCACCGCTGAAATTATCATTGTGGCGAGGAGAAGAAGATTGATCCAAGTTGATATTTTCACTACGAGATTGACCATTTTTGAAATATTCCTTTCTATGAGAAGCAGATGGTTCATTTTTTAAATCTTCATTACGACTTAGAGAAGACTGTTCATTGCTGAAAGAACCTTGACGGCGATGAGGAACAGGTTGGTCACTGTGGAAAGATTCCTTACGATGAGGAACGGATTGTTCATTTTTGAAATTTTCATTATGATTGAGAGCAGATTGTTCATTGTTAAAACTTCCATTACGGAGTTGAGCAGATTGTTCATTATTGAAATTTTCATGACGGCGAGGAGGGCCATTGTTGAAAAATTCCTTACGACGAGGAGTAGATTGATTATTTTTGAAATTTTCATTACGGGGAGATTGGAACTTTTCATGACGACGAGAAGATTGGTTATTGTAGAAAGTTTCATTTCGGTGAGTAGAAGATTGATCATTTCTGAAACTTTCATTACGCTGAGAAACAGATTGACCATTGTTGAAACTTTCATTGCGACGAGGAACAGAATGATCATTTCTGAAATTATCATTACGCCGAGGAACAGATTGGTCATTGTTGAAACTTTCATTGCGGCGATGAGAATGATCATTTTTGAAACTTTCATTGCGGTGAGGAGTAGATTGATCATAGTTGAAACTTTCATTGCGGCGATGAACATGATCATTTTTGAAACTCTCATTGCGGCGAGGAGTAGTTTGATCATTGTTGAAACTTTCATTTCGGCGAGGAGAAGTTTGATCATTGTTGAAACTTCCATTGCGGCGAGGAGAATGCCCATTTTTGAAACTTTCATTGCGGTGAGGAGTAGATTGATCATAGTTGAAACTTTCATTGCGGCGAGGAGAAGTTTGATCATTGTTGAAACTTTCATTGCGGCGAGGAGAAATTTGATCATTGTTGAAACTTACATTGCGGCGAGGAGAATGACCATTTTTGAAACTTTCATTACGACTGTTGGAATGATCTTTACGACGAGGAGATTGATCAACGTTGAAAGATTTATTATTGCTTAAAGGTTCAATGCGTGCTTGATCATTGTTGAATTCGCCACGACGAGGAACTACTTGATTATTATTAAGGTAATTATTGACAAAATTACAACCACCATAACCTTCTTTGATCGGACCATTGTTGCGACGAGTTGAAGGTTGATCATATCTACGTTGAGTAGAAATTTGTTCTTGACCTTCATTGTTGCGATATTGGTCACCAACAGAATTCTTGTTATTTCCAGCCATTTTCTTTTCAATAGAGATAGGTAAAAAAAAAAAAAAGGAGGAAAAAAATGAAATGAATGAAAAAATAAAAAAAAAATGAAGCGTACAAATGAAGGCTAGTTAACTTTTCTTGAAAGAAGTTAAATAAATAAAAGGGTATCGTCAAGAAATGTGAAAATATATTAAATCTATTATCGTATTGTGTGAAAGTGTAAGTATAAGAATTTTAAGAATTTTTTAGTATATTGAAGCAATAGAAGTTTTGACGAATTTCTTTGAAAATAAAGACGGCTGTGTTTATTTCGTTGTTAGTGTGTAAATCTTTTTTTTTTTCCAATTGGATTACACAAAGATAAAACATAATAAAATAATACATTACATTATAAATGCCAATCAGTTAATAACTTAAAATATTTAGATCAGAGTCAAAAAAAGTATAGATCTTGTGGCTTGTTAAGTTCGGAATAAAATGGTCAACTTTTTATTTTTCGATTTTTTTTTTGATCATAAAGTCGAGGAATATTTTTTTTATAAATATATATTTTTATCTACTTTTGGAAAGAAAAAAAAAGATCATGATTAAAGTGAAATGATTAAAGGGAATAAATTTGATCCGAAATGACAAATTTTTTTTTCTTGTCAATATATTAGTCTGGATTTTTTTTTTTTTTATTCAAAAAATTTATAGTTTTTTTTTTAACTCGCTTGATGTTTTGGGGCGAAAGCAAGTTGAAAAGCGAACAGATTCACTTTTTTTACTTTTCGTGGACGATGAATTCAAAGACCCATTAAATTTAACGAAATTATTCATACCAATCGATTAAATCTGTTAATTCCTCTGTGAGAAAATCATTCAACTTTTTTGGGGGGAAGAAATTTCCCCGACAGGTTTTTTTTTTTAAGTTTTTATATTATGATGATTTTGTGGCTGGAGTATCACCAAATATTGATATTGATGGAAATTATCCCAACATGAAACTAAAAATTTAAACAAACATATGAATGAAACATTAGCATGGCACGTGCTATTCATTGTTTTGGACTTTTTTGGTAATTCGTGGTGAAGAATCTTTTAGACTTGCACGTGATAACATATAATTGGCTATTTTGGGAATGTTAAAATTTCTATAGATTCTCTACATAAGTATTTTATTTAAAGAAATCAATTCTTTTAAATTGCTTCGATTAAACATAAAACAAACAAAGAACTTAATAGGAGAAAGTAATCTACTGCGTACATTAATATAAAATGAGTGAAAATAAATTTGCCATTTAAACAAATTATTTAAGACCAATAAAAAAAAATGAAAAGATTGTTTACAATGAAATTTATATTATTTAAGAGAAAAGGAAAAAAAAAGATAAAAATTTTAGCACATTAAACAATAGTAAATTGTAAAAGGTAAGCTTTTGAAGTAAAAATAAAAGAAATAAAAAAGAAATAATACAAGAAAATAAACCAACAAATATATAAGTGTATATATATATATATATATGAAATGTCTGATAAAAAATTTGAGTAATAAGTTACACATTCTCTTCAGGAGTGGTGCGCATAACGGTTTCCATCCTTCTAACTCTTATAAAATCTGATACACTTCGAATAACAATGAACCATCCCAAAAACATGAGAATATAACTAATCATCATCATATCCATCATTATTTTTAATAATATTAGGATTTATTTTAAAGGGGAAAAACAGGACATAAGTTTCAGTAAATATAACGAACCTTAACCATGCGCTACGAGCCATCATCTCTTTATCATTTATATCATCATCATAATAATAAGTTCCATCATCCTGTAATGTCCTTCCACGAAGGTAGAAACCATATTGCACCAACGTAATACCCAAACCGGCCCGAGATCCGTTCTTTTTTTTAAAAAAAAATAAAAATAATAAAATAAAATAATAAAAATAATAATAAATCATCAAACATAAAATCCAAAAAAAAAAAGTTTTACCTTGGCTGCATGACTGGTGTGTAAAAGATAAGTCAGCAAGAACCCAACGAATTGGAAGCTCATGGAAACTAAAAAATTTAATATTAAATTTTTATTAACACATTTACATAATTGACATTAAAAAAAATAATCTCGTATTTACCAAGCATATTCCAAATGAAACTGAAAAAATTCCCTACTGGTAAACCTTCAACGAGAATCTCATCACCACTGTATCCTGGTGCAATGATAGTAGTTTCCCAATACGGTGGTGCTGCATCAGCCGCGGCTGCCTCGTATGGCTAATAATAAAGCAAAAGAATATTAAAAACCATTGTATGAACTTTTACTAAAAAAAAGTAGAAGTTGACTTACCGGTGGATTTTCATCTTCTTTATCAGCCTCTGTATCAGGTTTTGCGGATAAGTTTGAAAATACACCATCAGTAACTACAGGCAAAGCAGCTGGTTGCGTAGCATTTGGTTTTCTCTTTATCTTGTTCAGTATAGACAATCTTGATCCACCATCATTGCTTTCATGATTATCATCATCATCAGACGTTGTTTCTATTACATTTTCAGTTACCATTGGTGTAGACTCTGTTTCTATTATTTCATTATCAACATTATTATTTGTAGAGGGAACGGGACTTGGAGAACGGGAGGTAGAAGCTTCAGCGGTCAAAGAAGGAACCTGAAGTTCAACGACTTGAGTGTCTTCTTCGGCGTTAGGAACCTAAAAAAATTATAACGTTAATCTTGTATAAAATAAGGTATATTGTCTTCGTTTTAAAAACTCGTGAACTTACTCGTGAATATTTACTCATTTTTTTTTTCTGTTATTATACTAATTTATTAGAAATTAAATTTTTATGATATTGGGTTACCGTTTATTTAAAAGAAGCGAAATTAAATTGAAAGTTAAAAAAGTATTCAGGTCCTTTTGTTAAAGGTTTAGGGAAAAAGGTTTATTACAAGCGGCTTGTTACCCAGTCGGAAATGGCGGGCTTGGCCTTTTTTGAATGATCCATCATTGACATTGCATTTTTACATCCAATCATATGAATAGTTGGTAAATATGTCTATAAATAAAAAAAAATTCTGTGAATCATCAATCTTTATTCAATACCTCCTTTGTATATTAAAAAAGAAAATCCAATTTAGGAAATTTTTTAATGAGCGTAACCTAAAACTTATTAATTATGTTAATTATGAGTACATAAGTTCTACCCAAAATTAAGTAATAATTTGACTTTGGGCGGCATTACGGCATTAATAACTTAACCTTGTATGAAATTTAATAATTTACTAAATCACGTGGTAGTAACTGGGATAAATTATGTAATAATTTTATGTATCACGGTTATCATGTGACTTATAATCAAATGATAAAAATCTTAGAGTTGAGATAATAAGTTGTACTAAAATTTAACTTTAATTTTTGATTAGATGGATTGGAATTGGTATCCCGCTCAAAAGTTGAGTCATTCGTTACACGAGCTTCCAGACTTAGTAACGGTCCAATTCATTAATATCGTAATACATTAATTAATATAATTATAATAAAGATAAACAATATATGGGAGGGGAGGTTTGCTAGGAAAATGGGGTTCTGAGCATTTTTTATTAAAATTTTAATTTTTATTGCATTTTAATTTTTGATAATGTTAGATTAAAATGCAAT